GAAAACCATAGACATTCACCAGAATGAGTTTAGGTAGGTGTCTTATTATAAGTTCATATGCCGCAAAAAAAAACTTATAAAAATCTTATTTCAGAAAAATTAAACATAGTATTAGCATTTCTTTTAGAGTTAGGTAACTAAGTAGGCTCTTTCCTAATAAATTTTCAGGAAATTGGCCATGCAAAAGCAAATGACAAGATGATTTACATTTTAGCAACTGCTCTTCCTAAACTAAAAGTACACACCCAATGATTTCAAGGCAGTTTACGAGGCTTTCAGTGTCAGTATAATAAAGTGAGCATGTACATAGGTCTCAGTATGACATATATGAATTAGGATTTTATACAAAGGTTCAAATTGAAACGCTTATCAATCTATCAGTAATATATAAGAAATCTGCTCCTACAACTTTAGAATTTTATTTATCCAGACACCATATAGCAAAATGGTACCTCTGCCATGCCTCAAATACAATAGGTGCTTAATAAATACTCATCTGATATATCAAAATGTTTTCCTTACAATGGAATATTACTCAGCCATGAGATGAAATACTGCCATTTGCGACAACATGGATGGACCTCAAGATAATGATGCTAAGCGAAATAACCTAGACAGAAAAAGTTGAAAATCACATATCACTTATATGTGGGATATAAACCTAAAAGCGACAAAGGAACAGGACAGTAAAGACTCATGGACATGGACTATAGACTAGTGGTTACCAGAGGGTAGGGAGTGGGGGGAGGGGGGAGGTAGATGGGGTAAAGGGGGTCAAATATGTGGTGACAGAAAGAAGTCTAACTATGGGAGGTAAACACACAGCGTAAATATATATATATGCCTTACTGTTAAAGTGTACAGATAAAACTTATTGGATTTCGTTAACCAATGTCATCATAAAAAAATAAATTAAAAAAAAAATATTTTCCTTGATTCCATTCCATAACAGTCTGACTAGCTCATGTAGTCACTTACCAGTACCCAGAAAAGCAGCAGCCTTCAACTACGCACTTAAAGCCTTGCTCACAGGTCGTTCATCCTTCAGTCTCTATTTGTAGTAGGAAGGAAAGCATAGGGACCCTAAGAAAATCAGGCCTGGAGAATTGGGAATGTTCTGCGATACAGGAAGAGTTCTTACAATGTTCTTGATAATCAGGCACAATGCTCAGCGTTGTCAGCTCTTTAGGAGCAGCTATGAAGCTTTCTTGAAGAACTTGGAAGTAAAATCGTCTTCTTTGAATTATCTCTGAGATCAACATTAAAACAGAGTAGAAATATGCAAAGTCACCTTTAAAGCCCACAAACAGACCGTGCTGGAGTGCTTACTATCAGTAGAAGTAAAAATTCACGTCAAGTTTCCAGTCTTAGCAACAAGGCAATCTTGAAGGTAGCTCTCCTGGCAACACACACCCTCTGCATCGCTTCAGGCCCTGGGAGGTTTTTCCTGTTTCTGTATTAACTTTATCCTCGTCTTACCCAATGCTCTAAGGCAATGAATTCATTTAACTCCCCTCATTCTGATTCACCCTCATAATTATATTTCAATTTCCCACATGCGTCTGCCTAAAGAAGGGAAGAATTTGCCAGCAACACAGATGCAAGTTTTACATCTGTAAACTGGCATCCATTCTCAAACACTGGTTTTATGAGCTTGGTTTCTGTGATCCACCCCAGAGATGAATGTGCTCTCCATTTGCTGATGAAATCGGTTTCTGAGCCTGCAATACTGTGAACCAAACTCTGGACTATAGTACATTCTTCTAAGAAAACACAACCTCTTGAGGCCTCTTGGGAAGTGGCCAAACAGCTCTCCAGACAACACCTCTCCCCCCAATGAGAGGCCAACTGAACTATTTTCTCCATTTTAAAATTTCAGTATTTAGAATTAATATTAGTTTTACTTAAGAGAACCAGTTTAAATACAGTAAAACCAGCAATTAAGTGAATCATAGATATATTGGATACTCTGCTTAAGCATGTAACAAACATGCGAGCTAAAAAAATAAAAGGTATGATTTATTTTAGAGAGCTCCACTTAAAACAAAGTAGGGGAAGGAAGCCATTAAAGACTTCTTAAAATTTAGACGTGACAACCAAATGTGACGGGTGCCACCTTGCTCAGATCCTCCTGCAAATGAACTGTGCTAGGCAGAATAACAGTCCCCCACAAAGACATCCATGTCCTAATCCCCAGAACCTGTGAATATATTACCTTACATGGTAAAAGAGACTTTGCTAGTATGATTAAGGGCCTTGAAATGGAGAGATTAGCCTGGGCTACCCAGGTGGGTTCATTATAATCACACAGGTCCTTAAAGCAGAGAACCTTTCCCAGCTGAGGTCAGAGAGATGCAACATGGTTAGCTCTGAAGATGGAAGGGGACCCTAAGCCAAGGAGCGCAGCCTTCAGAAGCTTGAAAAGGCAAGTAAACAGATTCCCTTCTAGAATATCCAGAAAGAAACAGTAGCCCTGTCGGTACCTTGATTTTTAGCTCAGTGAGGCCCATTTCAAACTTCTGACCTAGAGAACCAGTAAGACAATGATTTCAGTCACTAAATTAGCAGTAACTTGTTACAGCAGCAATAGAAAACTAATACACAAACTCAAAAAGATACTTTGAGACAGATCAGATTTAAACAGGGATTGGCTATTAGATGGAATATTAAGGAATTAGTGTTAATTTTTAAGCTATAGTATTATTGGGGCTACCTTTTTTAACTTTACCTGTCAGATATATACTGAAGTATTTATAGGTTAAATGATATATCTGGGATTTCCTTTAAAATAATACTGCTTCTCTCCGCTAAAAAAGGTAGAATAGGTAAGACATTAAATTAGCAAAAGGTTGGTTAATTGTTGAAGCTAGGGGCTCGTGATACTATTATTGTGTATACTTGGGATTTTTCATAGTAAGTTTAAAAACAAAAAAAGTGAGTCTACTGCAATGCTACCCTGAATAAGCCCGACCCCATCTGATCTCAGAAGCTAAGCAGGGTCGGGCCTGGTTAGTACTTGGATGGGAGACCACCTAGGAAGAACAGGTGAAGTAGGCATAAAAATTTTAAAAAATGAGAGATTGTAAGCTGACAAGGTCCTTGCAATCTGTGAGGTCAACCAAGGGTTGCCTTGCCTAAAAAAAAAAAAAAAAGGGAATTAACTTAGAAGAGAGCACCTGAACACTATAGATCAGCACTGTCCAGAAGAATTTGGTGATAGCAGCTCTCGATACTGGAAGAGAGACATGCTGCCTTACAACTGTTTATAAGTAAGCTCATGACTCAACTGCACATCTGTTACTTTTGTCTGCCCAGCCTCATTCCCTTTCCTAATAGTGGTACTAGCTCCCACCCCCACTCCAAGCCCTTCATCACAAAGGTAGGGCTTCTGATCCAGGCTATGGCACAAGTTCTTCCTGGCCACAGTGATTGGTCCACGAATGACCAGAGACAGCACAGCCATAATCCTTGCTTAGAATTCTCTGTATCAGGAAGTGAAGTAGCTCCCTCGATGAGGAGTTATATGGTTGGAACCCTAGAACTACTGGCCATCATGTTCCCATGATACATTGAGCTTCCTGAGAGAGTAAAACCAAAATTAGGATAAAGATGGGCAGTCTTGATTCTCCTCAAGTTCTTGGACCCCATCAACCTGGGGTCAACTCCAGCCCTTCTTTCCCTTATTTCAGTGAGATAAGCCAAAAAATTCCTCTTTTTTGTTTATGCTACTTTTAAGTTCTATCACTTGCAACCTAAAAGTCTAATGTGAAGTCCCACAAAAAAACTCCTTACATGGCCAAGGTCATTAGCAAAATAGTAGACTAATAGCACTGCTAAATCTTGTTCCCCTAAAATTTATATTTTGAGGTCCTAACCCCTCATCTGACTATACTGGAGACAGGGCCTGTAAAGAGGTGATTAAGGTTAAATGAGATCATAAAGATGGACCCCGGTGCAACAGAAATGCTTCCCTTTTAAGAAGAGAAAGAGACAACAAAGCTCTCTCAGCCATGTGAGGACATAGGGAGAACGCAGTTGTCTGCAATACAGGAAGAGTCCTCACCAGAACCTGGCCATGCTGGCACCATGATCTTGGACTTCCAGCCTCCAGAACTATGAGAAAATAAATATGTTGTTCAAGCCGTCCAGCCTACAATATTTTGTTATGGCAGCCCAAGCAGACTAATACAGGCACTCAGTATAACTTTCCTACTACCAGTTACTACCAGTTCCTTCTTCAGAAGTAAACCCCGATTAGCAAAAATAGTGATATATTAATCTTTTATTCTTTCACTCCTATTCTTGATTTCAGTTTAGACTGGCATGACTTTTCAGGTGGTTTTTACTTTTTAAAAAATAACAAAAGGATTAGCCCAGCTATCTTGAATTTCACTATCAATTCAAGGGCATTCTAATATATTAAAAGTTCTTAGATTAAGCAGCTTGAATTATATTACCAATAACGGAGAAAGAAAAGATGATAAATCAAAGTGGAAAAAAAAAAGAAAAATCACATAGTCAAATTCAAGTATAAATCTTTAATTTTTCATGCTTTATTCATTATATCAATAGGTTAAGAAAGTAAAATCTTCCTAACTGCTGATTTATAGTTAATGTTTGGAGGTGGCACACAAGACATTCTGCTTCACAAAGAGTAATATTCAGTGATCCCTTTAAATTCAATTTTAATCCTTATTTTAAACTAAGTGCAATAATTTAATACCATAAGCTAAATACACACAAAACCTGTATATCCTGAACTACAAAACTGGTTTCCACAGTCACATACGGTTTTAGGCAAGTACACATTTCCTTAAAGAACAAGTACTAACAAATATGTCAATAAAACACTGCCCTAAATGCTTATCCTGCCATCAGCTTTTTAAGTAATGCCATTCCTGC